GTGGCTGACTGAAAAGCCAAGCCCCAGGAGCAGAAGTTCCCTTTCTGAAAAGCCCCCTCAGAGGAAGCACTTGGAAGCAGCATGTGCTGTGTCCAGCAGTGCCTCTCCAGAGCCAGCCTGAGAAATGGGAGCAGCTCAGGAAAAGTGGTGCAATCAATAGAATTCGATACTGCAGACACTATGCTGCCTAATCCCCAGTCTACAGGTCTGTCCTGTCAGGCTTTTTAGGTCACAGCTATTTGCTTCCCGTGGTATTATTTCTGAACCTCACCTGAAAAGCAGCAGTTACAGGAATTGCATCTTCCCCTCCCGTACCTCAGCGTATCGCAACACGAACTGTACTGGAGACAACCTGAGGGGATTTCTGGAAAGAAAAACACAATACTTGCTTTGCAGTAACATTTCTTTTCCAGAATGGAAGAGGCTGGGTTTGAAAAGGCCAGCACAAGTAGTAATTCCAGAGCAGCTGAAACAAATAATATTTGCTTAGCAAAACGTGAGTCCAGGATCTTGGCACAAAGACCTTCTTTTCCTCAAACAACTGTCTGGGGTTTTATTTAAATTTAAATTAAGATGTGATCTTCCAACCTGTGAGCACCACTGAACGCAGCTGATTGCTACCCCAAAACAGGAGTTTTGCTTGAGAGAGTCATTTACACTCCCACATTTTCATGGTATTTTAGAAGTTGAGAAAACTTCTGCAGATGGTATTTCTTAACTCTGAGGAGCTGTTTGCTAATGCCAGGGGGTGGATTTTCTTCTTGCTGTTGACTCTAATCTGAAAGCATCGAGGCATCATGAGTTTTTCCAGGCTGGAGTATCCAGTTGCTGTTGTGTTTGCTTATGCAGGTGTTTTACGTAATTGCCCCAGCGAGGCTGACGCTCACGGGAGCAGCTGCAGCACAGGCAGCACTGCAGGAGTTCCCCACTTACAGCTCAGCTCACCTCTCAGAGCTCAGCAAAAGAAGCCCTGTGCCCTCCAACAGCCAAGCAAATGGAAGTGTTCAAACTGCATTATGGCTTTGCACTGTTAATGAGAACAACACCCGATAAGCAACAACCCAAAGCTCAAATGGGATCAAATAACCCAACGTGTAAAAAGACACACTAAAGTGGGGTGGGACCCCACCAAAACTGTTTTTCATGTAGTGGTACAGACAGACCTAGTCCTGAGTCTGACTAATGTACTCAACAGGTACTTCATTCAAAGTTCTTACATGAAAGAAGAAAATTATCAAGAAAAACCTGAATTTAAATTATTCACCAGAGAAACATAGGCAAAGTCTATCAGTCCTTCTCAGGCTTAAACTCTGCCTTTGAATTGGGTCTGCAAGTCTTCTACTGCTTTGCTTTCTGTCACCCTCTAACTTGCAGGCCTGTCATCAAACCTCTGAGAAATAAGTCATTGCTTAAAGAGCCTTAAAACCAGCTCAGTTTCCTTTCAACCAACCTAAGATATAGCCTTCACCTCTTTAAGTGCCTGATAGATAAGCCCAGCTGGAAACTTATTTTCCTATGACAGGAAGGGAGGACTTTCTTCAAGGACTTACCTCCTTCCCTGCCTGCTGCAGGATGAGGCTTCAGAAGCACATTTCTCTGACGGCAGTGACTCCAGCACGGCCACTGCTCTGCAGAAGAGAAGGCTCAGAGGAGTCTCGTTGACATGTATGAATATGTGTTGGGAGGGAGTGAAGAGCCAGGCTCTACTCTGCAGTGTCCAGTGACAGGACAAGAGGCATCGAGAACAAATTAATTCCATTTACAATATCCAGAGGCCCCTTCCCAGCTGAACATTCCCTCACCCTGTGCCCCTGCACTGCGGCACTGGCACAGCACACAGCGCAGGGCAGAGAGACACCCACCACGCTGTGACTGCTTGTGATCCTCTGATGCCTGTCACTGTTCCCTTCTGGATCATCTCAGCCCCCCCCTCTTCTCTGTGGAGACCCTAAACCCCAAAACTAAAAATGTGCTGGTGGACGAGCGACAAGCCTGAAGAGGGAGCCTCTGCCTTCCTTTGGCAGCCCCCATGCAATGACCAGCTGAATAGGCTTCATTTTTTGCAGCATTACTGATTCTCCCTTGAAGTCACGTTTTTTAATATCACTTCCCCCACTTCCTGTAGCTTATCCCTTACAGTCAGTTTGCCTGGACTCAGGAATGCAGGTGACAGTGGAGCATCTCCATCTGCTCAGTGTGCCAGCACCAGGATTCTGTTTTTAGAAGATGAGCTGGATCAAAGATTAGCAGTGGCATTTCTGAGCACTCATAGTCACAGTTAACACTCTTTGGGCTTTTTCTGCTATCAGAGTGAAAATAGCCTTCCTGAGGTTCTTTGGTCTGAAGCAGAATTAAGTGATCCATTGGGCAAGGAACACCAGAATCTGCCCATGAACAGTCCCATGATGGCAGGCAATTAGACTCTTACCAGAGTAGGCCAGGGGGAGATTCTGCTAGAATCCTTGGGAAAGAGCTCTCAAGCTGTATGTTTGGGCACAAGCAAGGCTTTGTTTCTACAGCCTCACAGGGAACACAAAAGAAAGCCTTTCTTTTCTGTGCCTGTGTGGATTGCTCCTCCATTAAGGCTTATCTACCTCCACATAATGAACCTGCAACTTAATCGAGGGAGGCAGCAACAAGCCTGGGCTTTCAAGACAGAGTTTCTGTCTCCTCTAATTTTTTTTACTGGTTTATCTGTTTTACCCTGCCTTCAGTCCACCTCAAGAGAGGAAAAAAAAAAAAACAGATTTAAAAAAAAAAAAGAGGAAAAAGAAAAGGAAGGTGGTCTCTCCTTTGTGCTTCTCCTGGTGCTGTGCCAACTGTATGACAATGACTTAGGCAAGGTAGGCATCAAGTCATCAGCTGCAGCAGGAATTCAGTGCAGAGATCCCAAAGTGTCCTTTGCCCTTGCCTACTGATATCTTATCTGCTCCAGCTTCAGAAAGGATTCAATAGCTGAATTACTGAGGGTTATAGCTCTAGGGTACATTCCTGACCAAAATTACCTGGCAACTTCATTCTGAGGGCTGGGAAATCAACCATGGAAAGCCAAGGCAAATGAAGATGTCAAGCTGCTGCAGCAATCACCTGGCAGGAGCCTGTTCAGTGTTGATAGTGTAGGTCTGTATAAAGAAAGAGCCCTGCCTGCAGTGGCTTCTACCTGCTGCTCAGAAGCTGAGCTTGTTATCCTCAACACAAACTTACACAGGCTTTGGGAATCCAAATCCTCCACCCCTGCTATAGAAGAGCTGATTCCCAAACTCTCTCTCCCTCTCTCCCCCTCCACAAATACAGGGCTCATTACAACATTAGTTTGTGTAAATGTGAGTGCTGACAGAAGGTCCATTGAACAGATGTTGTGTGCACACACTTCATACCTGCTTAGGGACCAGGATGGGTGAAAAACACTTCCACAGCCTGAAAGCCATAAACAAGAACAGCCCTGACTTGATAACTGCCTAATCCTTGATCCTAAAGGCCCTGCCCTCCCGTCCTACTCTCCAGGCAGGTCTGCTCCACAGCCACCCTTCAATGCCAAATACCTGACAGAGTTTGAAGTGTTAAGCAGCAAAACAAGGCACAAGAACATGAGGGTAACACCAAGCAAGGCAGTGCTTTTTACTTAGGACAAAACCCAATGTAAACTCAACCCAAAACTTTATTTAGTAGAAAAGTTTCAGAAGACAATTTCTGTTTCAATATTTGAAGCCTTACACTGACAACATACTCATTAAAGGCAGCTGCCGTTCTCCCAAGGTGTAGTCCCTTCTCATACTGCACCCTTTATTCGTGGCTTTCATCCTCATGGAGAGGCTGTGCAGCTCTTCCTCTGCAATGCCATCAAAAAAGAAGTCCTCGTTGAAGATGGGATTTCTGCTCCTCTTTATAACAGTGCTTCTCTGCTTCTGTGTTTTCCCTGGCACCAGGGAGAAGGAGATGCAGCAGTTGATGTGTTTGGGCTCCACGGAGTCCTCGTACAGGCCCTCGGCGCTGATGAGGCGGATGCGCAGCCGCTCGTTCTCGGAGCAGTACTCGGCCGACAGCCTCAGCAGCCCCCCCTTGTCCATCACCACCGTGCTCTCTCCCACCAGCCTCTCCCGACTGCGGGGCAGGTCCAGAGGAAAGAGGGGAGAGCAGGACGTGCTGAAGGTCCGCGTGGCGAGCAGCCCCTCCGAGGCCCTCCTGATGGCGCTGGGGCTGTTATCGGTGGAGCTGCTCTCCTCCGTAGAGAGGGAATTGTTCCTGGCCACGCTGGATTTGCTCTTGGCTTTCAGTGCTCGGCAGAGCAACCCCTCCTGACTCTGTGCTTTGGTCAGGGAGCAGGGTCTGGGAGGGGACCTGCTCAGAAGAGGAGAGCTGAAAGGAGAGGATTCGCTGGAGGAGGCAGTGTCGCTGTCACAGGCGCCCTGCCTGTGCAGAGAGAGCTGCTTGGGAGGCAGCCTCACCGAGGAAAAGCTGATGGCAATGGGATTAGAGGTACTGCCCTTGCCACTGAAGGTGTTGGCTCTGGACCGAGGCAGCACCAGGCTGGGCAGGGCACCGCGGGGGTCACCGTGGAAGATGGACTCCTTCCTCCTGGTGTGGGGGCTCTCCAGCAAAGTGTAGAAGCCATAGGAAGTGGGGGCTCTGGGAAAGTGGGGCAGGGAAAGCGCTGCTTGGGACTGGGGGTCCGAGTTGGTGCTTTCGTCCTCCAGGGCTGTCATTTCCTCTTCAACACTTTCCACCTGGATGAGGTGTGGCAAAGAGCTGGGGCTATTGGCACAGGTAAAAGCTGCATCCACTGAACTGTGATTCTGGTGGGAGCCAGTGCCCTTAATGGAGCCAGAGCTGGTCAGCCTGGGGGGAATGCAGAATTCGGGGATTTTGTCGGGGGTGAGCACGTTTGGAAAAGCAGCGGCCCCCAGTCGGGGTTTTTCTGACAGGTTTTGGCCATGTGGCAGTCCCAGGAAGGAAGAGCTAGGGAGATTTCCACTTTCATGTGATGCTCTGATCTTTTCCAGGAACCACATTGCTGTAGCTGAGCAGGAGGTCCTCAAAGGGGAAAAGCCCGATGGACAAATCCACCTGCAGACACACAGAGGCGAAAAAGTACGTGAACATTCTTCTTGGACAGACTACAGGGCACGGACAGCCGAGCAAGGCACCGAGGGCGCCATTCAAGGCAGGACTGGCACAAGCCCATTCGACCCACGGGTTCCAAACACCCCTGCCCAGCGCACCACTGCTGGCCCAGTCAAACGGCACAAGGACAGAACTAAACCGCTAAAGAGAGAAAACAGCACCGACTCTCCACCGGGGCAAACGTCCCCCTCTGGCAGAGCCCCCCGCGCCCCTCCCCGAGCAGAGCACGTACCTGGTGCAGTGCGAGCCCCCGCTCTGGGCAGCAGCCCCGACTCGCTGCTCGCCGGGCCCGGGCACCTCCGGCAGCCGCCAACACCTCCGGCAGCCGCCAACACCAACACCTCCGGCAGCCGCCAACACCTCCGGCCGCCCCGAGCCGGCCCTTTTCTACAGGCACCGGGCACCTCCCACCCGGGGAGGGACGGGAACGGAGGGGGCTGCCCGAGGGAGGGCAGGAAAGAAGGGGGTGCCGGGCCGGCGGCCGCGCCTGCCGCTCTCCCGCGGGGAGAGGAGGAGGAGGAGGGAAAGCACCGCTGCTGCCCCGCTGGACACGGCGTGGGCGCCGGAGTCGTGCCCAGGGCAGGGGGGAGGGACTCGGACAAGGGCCTGTCTCGGGAAAGCGCCTTTAGGGCCGCCCCACGCCCCCGGGAGCCGCCTGCGGGAGGGGAAGGGGCTGCCCGGGCAGCGCATCGCCCCCGGCTCCCTCTCTGATGAATGGCTATTACAGAGGCGTCCCGAGGTTAACTAACAAACCCGGGACAAAAGCAGCGTTGTTTGGTGCTTCTGTTCTTCTGGAGCTGCTGGCGGCTCTCCAGCACTGGAGCCATACGAAGCGGGGATTGCGGTTTTCAAGCTCCTTTGTAAAGAACTTCGCTGCCCTTCCGCGTGTGAATGTGTGTCGCCCCCTCCTCATTACCCACGAAGAACACGAGACAACGGAGCCTTGACCCCGCGTCCTTATGAGCGATACTGAGCCACGGCAAAACCAGCAATGCAGATGCAGTGAGGGGAAAAACACGGTAGAAAATGCTTTGGTGTGTCAAAAACACAGACTTGTGTGACACTGAACGGGCACCGCACTGAGCCAGGGGGCATCCAGCAACTTGCTCGGCACAGTTCTGCAATGCAGCACCGCCTGGACAGACCTGCAAACTCTATAATTATCCTGCGAGCTGCAAATAGCAACCTGAACTGCAGAGCCAGGAAGGCCTGACAAACTGGTTGGCCGAACACTCAGCTGGAGGTTGTAACACAGGGGTAACAGACAAATAATATTCGGCTTTCCTTTTGCCGGTGAAGAGCTAAAGTTCATGTTTACTGAGTGCTCAAAATAGATGAGATGTGCTCAGAGAAAACAAATCCGGGGGGTTACAGGGGCAGGGAACATTTTGAACCCGCTGAAAGGTTTAGCAGGGAACACACATGTTCTGGGTTTGAGCTCTGCCTCTCTCCTGCTTGTTTTACACCAGTTAAGCTTCACTTGCACAATAATCCTCTAGTGATTAAAATCAGAGGAAATTCTTTCTGCCATGATTTGTAAAAGGGTTCAGGACACCCCAGAGGTCCCAGTAACGCTGCAGTTGCTGGTGCTCTTGCAGTTTACTTAAAAGGACTTGCTTGATGTGAGCATGGTTCAAATAATCTCTAATCTAACTCAGAGGCTTCTGGAGAGGGTTTATGCTTTCTCCAGCTAATGAGATTTTTCAGCAGCATGGTAAGAGGAGTTATTGGAGACCCTGGGATGCTCTCCTTTGGGAAGCACCACAGAGCTGTTATCCATTCAGACCAGGCAATACAGCACTGTACATCCTGCAGCTTCCAAAGAGAAAGTGAGCTAGTTCCAGTTTACACACCTCTGCTTTGAATACCAAAGAAATATTTTACTCTAAACATGGAGAAAAATTAAGGAAATTGAGCTTTTTAGTGGGAACTTCATTGCCTCCAGTAACAGATGACAGAAGTAGTTCAGATACAGCAATCATGGCAACTGGGCTCAGGTATGCTGAGTGCCCAGCTGGCATCGGGCAGTGGTGAAATAAAACAACCACTCTGTCAGAGGTGCTTGATTTCTGTTTAGTCTCTTTAGGCTCCCAAGGAAAAGAGCGAGGGCTCTCCCAGCGGGTGATCGGTCCCCTGCTCGCAGTTGCCTGTCTCCCTCCAGTGCCTGCAGAGTGAGCAGGTGCCTTACACGGGGCGGTGTGTCCCGCCCTGCCTGAGCCGGCACTTCCCAGCCCTTTAACAGATCGCTGAGTGCCGGGAGTGCAGCAACACTTAAGCACTCGATACATCCCCCCTGGAAATAGGCACTCAGATCTGCGAGTGTAGCTTCCTGTGTTCAAAGCTGTTTCTCTTTCCTTGATTAGCTTCAGAGTATAATTAAAATGTGCTGCCAACAAGGCTTCCTGTTGCTATTAAAAATGTGTCTGCAATAATCCACTTTTAAACCGGAAAAGATATAATTTGTGGCAAGGCTTTATTACCACCCCAGTACCAATAACTGGTGAAAGCCTGGGATCTCTCCAGGGGCTGGAAAACCTGAGACTGAATGGAATCTCTTCCCAGAGCAACACAGAACAAAGTCAGGAGTTTTCCTTGGCGTGTTACACTGATATTATTTCTCTCCTGCCTTCACTGGGCACAGTGGCCCCATTCAGGAAAGGTCCAAAACCTGTTTGAAACTCGCTGGTTTGAGGGCCTGGAAGTGCCAGGAGAACCCTTCCAGTGGTTTGTAGAGGGTAGAGAGGCAGGAGAGCTTCAAGAGCTGGCAGCCTTTTGGTGATGAGCACCAGGGGAGGTGAAACCCTCCCTATCCAGCCAAGACGAGTGGAGAGAGAAAGAAAAACTTCCTACCCTGCTGTGAAAGGAGGAGGCATCAAAGACAGGCATGGATGAGGCAGCACAGAAGAGTTTAAAGCAACAGCCATGGCTCAGTGCATCATATTACCTAAAATATGCAACATTTCCACAGGCTTCTGTGAGAACAAATAACCCGGTTCAGTTTTATTTTCCTAAAGAAAGCAGCAGTAACTCAGCTGCAGCTTCTTGAAAGAAAACCTCAATCAACTGAGAGGCACTGACTTTTTTCATTGCAGACTGATATCATTGCAAATGTACAGCACATTGATGCCTTCCTGTCACTGTGACAAGTGTCAAAGGTATCTCTTAGCAGTCTGCTCTCCACTTCTGGCCTGAATCAAGTCATTCTGCATTTCTTGTTTAGTAACACAAAATGGTAACAGAGGTTCAGCAAAACTCATCTGACAACCTGATCTTTCTCCTCTTATTTAGTACATTATAGTAGCTTATATTTTACCTCACCAGCAAAGGCAGGTTTCTGCACAGCTTTGCAAGTGTCCCTGCTCCTTTAAATGAACACATGAAAGAACAAGTGCCCAAGAGCTGCTTGGCAGAAGGGCACAGGAGCTGTGGGGCCCTTCAGGCACTTGGGCACTTCAGGCAAAGTATCTCAAGTACCTCATGGCACAGCAGTGTGAACTGTACAAATGTAAAGCTATGAACTAAAGAATTCATTCCTGCCAGCACATTACATGGTCCTGTGGTGAGAAGCTGAGAATTGCCACGCAAAATCCAAGAAAGGTTTGCTGTCCCTGCTTCCACTGCTGCTGAAATCAGCAAAACAATCTCCTGGGCTGAAGTCTAGGTCTATACCTGAATCTAACCACATCTGGCTTTAAATGCCTTTCCATGTTTTATGGAAATACACCCAGTTCCAGGCAGTATCTACTTCATGTCTACTCAAATCTGAAAACCTTCGCTATTTTGCCTGCATGATGTTAAATTTCTTTTCCCTGATGCTTTCATGTAACAGGGTAGAAAAGAATGGAACTGGAAAAATATTTTAAAGGCTATCAGGATCATGAAACACATCACAGAGCAGATAATTAATTATCCACATTTCCTATGACTGGGTCAAAACAAGCTCCAGTGCTCTGTTCAGGTAATTTCCTGAAAAGGCAAGGTTCTACACATGGACAACCAGGATAAAAACTCAACAGCAGAGGGGATTTCCTGGCACCATCAGAGGGTTTAGCACACGGCCTGGGCAGTTTAGGAAAGCTGGTAAAAGGATCCTAAAGAAGAATGGAACTGGCTTGAGAAAGGAAGACAGAAGAAACAGAGATTATTTAATTGAAAAAAAAAATATGAGGGGCAGAAAGACTCTGCTTGTTCTGCTTGCTTCTGAAAAAAGGGGGATGTTGAGCTGCCTTGCACAGCTCCAGCTCGGAAGGCACGAGTGACTCAGGGCTTGGCAAACTGCTGCCCCAGCAGGGACTTCCAGGGGTTAAACTTCAAAGGGGAAAAGGACTGAGGTGCTCAAAAGGACACTGCTGGTGGCCCTGGATGTGCAAGGCCACTGCTCTGAAGGGTGACAGGAAAGCATCTGATCTTCCTCCTCTGAACTAATATTATCCTGCAGTTCAAGGATGTCTGCCCAGGAAGGTAATTTGACAGTTTTGTTGCTGGACACCTGCTCGCTCTGACAGGCCAGCCGTGAGATCACAGCCAGGTTATGCAGGTGCAGGCTGGGTGGGAGCAAACCTTGCAGCCAGACAGAAAGAACACATGTCCAAGGGACTGGGTATAAACTGCCTTGTTAGTGAATGTTTCACTAAAATTTTACAGGCCTGACCCTGGTGAAAGCCTAAAAATTCCCATGCCTTTTCCCAGGAATTGCAGCTCTGTATTGCAGACTCTGTGTTTCTTTCAAGATTCTGGGGTATGGTGAAAGCAGACCCAGAATTGCCCCCAGAGTGTGGTGTTCAGGTCACTCTTCTGGTGTGGAAGATTAACTTGTTATTTGGGCAAACAGCCCCATTTTAGGGCAGGCCTGTCCCATTAGGCCCCACAAATACTTCTGAGGATTTTCTGAAGAAAAGTCCACCAAACTGCTCACGTCTTTCCACAGGGATGTGCTGTGTTACGGCAGTAATGAGCATCTCATGGCTTTGCAGAGTTGTTGTGCTGTGACTTGTAGTAGGGTTAATGAAATATGAGAATTATCACTAATATTTCCCTCAGAGTAAAAATAAAATCAGGCAGTACAACCTAATAACTTATAGACCAGAATATTTCAGCTGGAAGGGATCACCCAGTCCAACTGCCAGACCAATTCAGGGCTGCCCAGAAGTTAAACACATGTTTTTAAGGGTCTTGTCCAAGTGCCTCTTGAAACACTGACAGGTTTCTGGCACTGGCCACCTCTCTAGGAAGTCTATTCCAGTGTCTGACCACCCTCCTGGTAAAGAAATGCTTCCCAATGTCCAGTCTGAACCCCTCCTACACAGCTTTGAGCCATTCCCACACCCTGTCACTGGACACTCCCCTTCCCCTCCTCAGGAAGCTGCAGAGAACATCCAGGTCACCCCTCAGCCTCCTTTTCTTGGAGCTAAACAAACACAGTGTCCTCAGCTCCTCACCTGCATTCATTGCAGATTCCCTGCTCAGAAACAAAGGCACAAATCAACACTTCATGCAACTGTCTCTGTGCTGGGAGCCTTGACAGCAGGACTCTTTCTGCACTCTGGCCTGATGCAGTCTCATTTGATGGGAGTTCTCGTGTACCCCAAAAGAATTCGTTGCATATAAATTTGTATTGACACCTGCAAGGTGAATCACACCTGCTGAGAAAAACTATTACTCAGTCTTCTTTTTGCTCAGGGTAAATTTAAATATGAAAGAGGAAAGCTAAATAAAACAAGGCTTGGGGTAAAAAAACCCCAAGTTTCCACAAAACTTCAAATCAATAAGGATTACTTCTATCAAGGTTAAAAAGAAAGATAAAAAGAAGGAAACAGATTTAGTTTCCTAATACACAGTCCTGGCACTATGTCCATGGAAGGAACGTATTTCAACCATTGATAAAATACATTTACATCCATCTCAAAAAGTCAAATTTGAGAAAAGCTTTGGATCTATATGCTGATTTGTTTCATCATTTTATGTCTCAAAAGATGATTATATGAGCCAGCAAATGGATAATTATCTACTACTAGCCCTTTAATCAGTCATTACAATGTCACTAGTTGTTCTTTGGAAGAGGATTCACTAGAACTTCCCTCCTTGCTGTGTTCTTTGGAGACACAAGGCTAAACCTGTCCAGTTACAAACACCAACACCGAAAGTTTCCTCTCCAACTGTGCTTTACCACACTCCTCTGGTCATGTAGAAACTTGCAAAAGGAGATTTTGATTTCCAGGACAGCAGGGTTGATCTATGCACTGCAAACACTTACTGGCAGGTTTTATTGACCAAGCAGTTCTTAGTGCTCTTCCTCCTGCCTAGACACACCCACCAGAGCCCTTCCCCAAAGAGCACAGAGTCAGAGCAGCCTCAAACCCAGCAGAGAGGCAGGGGCTCTCTGTTATGCTCCCCAAACACCTGCCCCAGGAGTTGCTGGCTGGCTGCACCTGTCCTGCAGGTACAGTCTGTGAGAAGCTCCAAGCACCAGGTGACGTGGCTGTGTGGAAGCACCACCCTGCTGGTACAAACAAGGCTCCCCAGGGTGAGCCAGGCAGAAGCCAAGGACATCTCCAAGAGGGTGATTCACCTTGTCCAAACATGCTGCCTCTTGATGGGGAGTGTTTAGCACTTGGGAAACGGGTGTGTTGGCAGACACACTGCCCTGCATTTCCCATGCCCTGAGCTACAAAGACCGAGGTGTCCCTGCAGGAGGAGTTCCCGAGTTCAGCCCTAATAACAACAACTGCAGGGGCCTGCAGGGCACACTCTGCTCCTGTGGTGGGCTGGGAGAGCCCAGGAGCACGGCCCAGCTCCAAGGGGTTGTGCCTGGAGGCTCCTGGGTGCTCCTCCCTTGGCCCAGCTCCATTCCCAGGCAGGGGGAGGTAGGTGGGGAATTCTGCTGCAGGAGCTGCCAGGTAGGAAGATCCTGATGCTGCACGTGGGAGGGTGTGTGAAGCACAAAGAGCAGGAGCCTCCCTGACTTTCTCCTCTGCAGGTAACACACTGAATCTCTAGTTGTTTATATCAGCTTTCAGATTTTCTTTGACTTAAGATTTGACTGGAAAATATTCCTGCTTAGCAGCAAGTTAAGACCACAAGGTGCCAGTCCAGGCAGCTTCACCTGGTCCTTGCAAATTAAATATTAAAAAAGAAAACTCGTGGATAACTGAATAATATCCTCTGAGTAATAAAACTGAGTGGAACATTTCTTCTACCTGAAGGTGGCACAGGCACACTGATGGGTTTGTTGGTCTCAGTATCTTGATAGGCAGGACATGCAGTCAGGAGAGTTCCATCTTTCAGTGGAATACATTTCAGTGGAATCACTAACCACTAAGCACCTAATTAAGAAACAGATGTTGATTTTGATACACTGAAGTTCAATATTTGAAGCAAAGCTCAAAGCTGGACTCTTCATCTTTAGACAGTCCTCAGCATTTCTGTGTACAGGCAGACAGGTCTTTTTCTAAAATTCCAGCACTTCAGCAGCTAGACTGTAGCTTTTTGTCCACTAAGATGTTGTGTTTCTGCAGGAGTATTGTCTGGAATGAGAAAGTGTTCCACTTTTACTTTCCATTTAAAAAGCAGGGCCTGCTATGGCCCTGACCCTGCAAAGCCTCATACAGGTGATCTATCATTACCTCCCTTATCTCAGAGCTCCTAATGCCCAAATAATATTTGCAGAACTAAAGTCATTTGAACTGTCAGTGGGGGGAGAAAAAGAATCCATCAGTGAAACTGATGCCAGTAGGGAGAACCTGATTCCAGGAATCAGTGTAAAGAGTCCTGCAGACCTCGGGGAACTTTGGGAAAAGGCTCAGGATTTTGTGGAGATGCTGGTTTTGGTCTTTGGGAGCAGAAAGGATGAAAATAGGCAGTGACAGTTTTGTTATTGTGAGGAAATGAATTGTCTGAAATTTCATTTAAAGGAAAATTAGAAGAGAAGTCACAGGACACTGTAATTATATCCTGTAGTATATAGTGTATATCCTGGAGTATATATCCAGAAGTAGCTCTGGAGGATTTTGTGGATCACACACTCTGCCCCCCACCGTTACATATCTGCCATTAATGGTTTACAACCAGAAATGTATAGCAAATCAGGTTAAAAGTACTTGGAGAACAACCCTGGCTCTCAGCAGCATGCAGGAAGAGTGTGAGAAAGACAAGGATTTTCTTTGACAAAACTCCTTCCGAGTCAGGAATCCATAGGCATGAGAAAAACAGCAGTTTAACTACTGCTCCCAAACACAGAGAGTTTCAACATATGGCCAGATATTACTACATAAAGGAAGATAATCTGAAGTTATTGCTGTCACACACATATTCCCACTGGAAAAGTGAAGACAGGCTCATGTGACCATAACAGATTCTCTGGCACTTTGTAAAAGTTGTTTCATGGTGAGGAGCTTTGCTTCAGTGGGAAGGACAACATTAAGCCCTTTATTGTTCTCTATCTCCTCCTGTCATTCCCTGAGGGGAGTCTGGAGTTTGCATCCAGCCCCAGCCTCCCTCCCTCACCCCCCAGGGCCAGCAGGCTCCTGCTGGAGCCACAATGTGGAACACATGGCATTTGTGTTCTGGGAGTTCTGGGAACCTCCTCCACCCCAAACACTTCAGAGAAAACAGGCTGCAGTTTACTTGCAGCACATATTTCACTGGAGGCTTCACACTACCCAAGACCCAGGCAGAACCAAATACTTGAGCTGGTGACACACTCTTTTGCTACCCAAGCATGTCAAGTAAAAGATGTTTTTCTCTGTTTTCTAGCATTTACAAGTATCTTTTGCCACTTAATTTGTCCCAGTTAAAATAACAAATACAATAAAAGCTCTGGAAAATGCTTCTTCTGGCACCAGCCTTACAAGGAGCTGCGTGGACAGGTGACTGAGAAGAAAGAAGGGACATGAGGGGATACCTTTTCCAGGCATTCCAGCCCAGCTCCTCCTTCATGACCAGCAGCTCCATCCTCAGGGCTGAGTGTGAAACCAGGCAGGTGATCCAGCAGGGTCTGTGATTCCCTCCCACCTGAATAAAGGATAAAAGAGACTTCCTGGGCAGCAGTCTTGTGCTGTCCCTCACATGAATTGATATGCAGATGATCAGTGGAGGGCAGGGCACAGCCCCTCCCCAGTGTCTCTGAGGCAAAACACACCTGAAAGCTGCTGTGGGACAGAAAATCCCATCTCTTGTCTGTGCCCAGAGCAGTGTCTGCCTCATCAGCACTCTCAGACAGTAGGGCCAGGATCAGAAAGCCATCAGCTTGCTCCTGCTGCTTTTAATTAAGCAGAACTCATCAGCAAACTGAAGGCCAGCAAATGGCCCAGGCACTAATAAGCCCAGTCCTCTGGCTTTGATTATTCCTGATATTGAGCTACAAAGCAGCAGCACCCTCACTCCCTGGGCTCTTTGCTCTTAATTATTATTTACTGTGAGCAGCACAAGTTGGGAAGAACAACTGATCTTAACTAATTAAAATATTATGCTTAGCACTTTAGTGCTCAGCAACTTTCCTCAAGCATGAGGAGTGTGAATCATAGACCCACAAATCATTTAGATGGGAAAAGACCTTGAAGATCAGTGAGTCCAAGAGCAGCTGAAGTGGCAATAAGGCCAGAGGAGCTTCAGCCCCCAAATATTTAACCCATATCATCCATTCAAAGATCAGCTTTTTTGGGCAGACTGAAAGTCATCAACAATTGCCCAACTTCACCTGTCAACAATCTGCTCTCCTGTAAGAATATAATTCAGTTCTGCTCTGCTTGTTGTTAAGTCAAAGCTCCTCAGAGGTCATGGGGACCCTGGGCTCGAGTCAGTTTTCTAAAGGAAAGCTGCAAAATAAATTAAAATTTTGCAGATTTTTTTCTTGTTTTTGAAGTATTGCCCTACTTTCAGGACCTGTTGTGGCAGTGATGTTGGTATAAGCCCTTCAAGGATGGTCTCAGAGCTACATGAGCTTATTTGGACTGTGCAGAAGTACATTTCCCTCAGTGAAAGGAGTGTCAAATGAGGGGGAAAAGCACTCTTGGGCTTGTGCTGTTATACTGAATGCTTTAATTTTAAATACTTTTGCAAAGTGTCTTCAGTGTGCTGTCCAGTGAAACTCTGGGACAGCATTTCATAAATCAGTTTAAGTTAACAGCAATTCCTGTCCTCCAGGCAAAAATCCAGTATGGTTTATCTGTACAGTAAGAGCATGAAAAGAAAGAATTAACAGAGGATTGCTGTCAGTGAATGACTCACAGTAAGATGGAAGATTGATTTGATCACAGAAAATGGAAAGAAATTATACCTTTGGAGGAGGGTGTCAGTGAAAACTCAGCATTAAAATACAGGACTTTAAGAAAGTTCATTTATGAGGGAATTGCTGATATATTCTTGATGATTTGTTTGGTATTTCTTTTAAATCAACCTCTCACTGAAAATCTACAATATCAAGGACAGCAGTAAACTCCTTCTTCAGAGCTCCCAAATCAGACTTAATTTCTTTTTCATTTTTTTCTGTTTTTTTTCCACACTGACCCTTTTATTGAACACAATTCCCATGGCACCCTTTTATTCTTCCATCTATAGTGGTGCTAGTCACAATATAAATCCACTTATCACAATCCTTCTCACTCCCTTTTCTATGCAACTGAAACTCCATCAAATGTTGGCCAAAGAACACTCATTCAGCAGACTTGGAACATTGCATCTCATAATATCCTATTAAAACATTTAGTAGGTAGCATTGACTCACTCCAATCTTTTTAACCTTTTGTCCTCCTGTAGGTTACACAACTTCAGGATCTGATTTTTCTCCTCTCCAAGAACTCAAGCACCCATAATGTTTCTGCCATCTCCAAATTCTGCTTGCCTTACCATATCAATCCATTTCCTGACCCATTCTCGCAGGTGTTTGAAGCAGAAGCAGCAGCCAAGTGAAGATCAGGCCTTGGCTGTGTGTGACTGACCCAGAGACCCCTCTCCCACTGCCAGCAACACAGAGAGAACCTCCAGTTCCAACAGCAGCCCAGCTGTTCATGCAGGGCAAGGCTGAGCTCACACCAGTTTTGGGGGAGGTACATGGGCTTCCTCAGCCTCTGAGATGATCCCACTGCAAACATTGCATCACCTTCTCCTGCTGCACCCTGAAAGGAGGTTGTGTTTCAGCTCTGCTTCTCCCAGAGCACAGCTTTGCTGGATCCCACTCACTGCTGTGACCCCTCCAGGCTAAATTCACTCACAGCCACTCCAGGCTCATCTGTCCTTCCACAGGCATTTTCCTGAACCTCACACAATTCTGTCCTTTCTGCCCTCCCACAGGTGTCCACTCCAATGCCCTCCAGCAGGCAGTTCTCAGCCTCTCTGCAGACACATCATGGTCTTTTCTTCTCTTGCTGACAATAGTCCTAGACAGAGACCTCACTGGGGCTTTTATAAAAGCAGGAATATTCCTTGGATCTGAGGGAAACAGATCTCCCAATACGTGTCTTTGTCAGAACTGTTTATGGTGATCCCATGATGGACTTTACACTCAAGCCCCTCCCCACAATGGCTCACGTTTTGGGGCAGAGGGTTTTGTTCTTGCTCCTGCTCAGACCAAGACCATACATTTTGCACCTCTGAATTTCTTCTGGTTTGTTTTACTTCAGACTTACATGAGAACAGTTCTTTTTCTCTTGTCTTTCAAGCTTTCACCCAAATCCTCTCTCACAGTGTGGTCAAAACAAAGGTTTTCTTTACATTAGAAGGGAGAGGCAGAACATTTATTTTGGACATTAACAGAAACCCAAATAAACAATATTTTCTGGA